TTGATTAGCAGGAACGAGAGTGAAGGCCTTGAGGAATTCAGCACACACGGCCCCCTCCCTCCCTCTGTGAAGTGGAGTGTGCCGGCCCTTGACTTCACTGTTTTAGCTGTCCCCTGAAGATCTTGCCTCCTTTTAAGTGCTTTTTTACGCAACAGCGAAGGGCCCTGTGGTAAAAATGAGGCAGCTGCAAAGACAGAACACAGAATTTTCCTTAAAGCCCTGCAAAGCCACAGAGCAGGAGGTGAGGAAGGAAGATGAGTGGGCCTTGGGGGAGAGGGGCACCATGGCTGAGGTCTGAGTCCACTGAAATGCCGGCTTACCTCAGATGGGCCCTTCTACTTGAACCCCCCACTGCTTCTTTATACTATAGAGAGTTTGCCTTGATCTGTGGTTCCCACCTGAGATCAGTCATCATTCATCCATCCATCCATCCATCCATCCATCCATCAGTCATTCATTCAACAAATGTTTATTGAGCAAAAAGGGCACACTATGCCAGGCACCATGTCCCTAGGGATTCCGTGGTGAGAAGAGGCTAGTTCCCACTCTAGTTCCTGCTCACATTCAAGTCTAGTAGACAGATGGTTAACAAATAACCATATAAAACCGTCATTTCAAATAGTAACAAGTGCCCGGAAAAGAGATAGAGCAGACAGCTGTGAGGGAGGCAACTGAAGAGAGAGGCAGAATCACTTAAGGGGGTCAGAGAGGGCCTCTGTGAGAAGCTGACATCTGAATGAAAGGAAGGAACTGGCCATGCAAAGAACTGGAGGAACAGCATGCCAGATGGAGGGAACAGAAGGGCAAAGCCTCTGAGCAAAGTCCCTGTTCCACGTGACGGAAGACAGTAAGGAAGCCATGTGGCTAGAGCAGAGTAAGGGACTGAGAGAAGGGTAGGAGATGGGATCTAGAGTTGGGACAGACGCCAGATCATGCAGAGCCTTTGAGTTCTGGTAATCAGTTTGGATTTACCCTGAATCCAAAGGAGGTGAAATTACCAAGGATGTTTCTTTACAATGCAGATTTCCTAGTTTCACCCCTTTGAGACTATTTGTTATAGCTAGGATGGGGCTGAGATGTCTGTATTTTTAAAAGCTTCTTGGGAGCCTCTGATACTGCGCCAGGTTTAGGAAGCCTGGGACTACATGGTCTCTGAGTCTCTTTCAGTTTTAAGAAAGCAGAGAAGCCAAGTGTCAGAACATCTTTTAAAAAAGATCTTAAAAGTTGTATGATATTATGAAGAATTCCTTTCTTCCTTCCCTCACAACTCCCTGTCCGCCTGGCAGAACTAATTCTGGTTTTGTTTGGTTTTTTAGCTTGTTTGCAAAATCCCAGATGGAGTACCTAACACAAGGAAGGTGAAGCCAGTGCTGGGGTGGGAGCGGGGGGGCGGGGGGGGAGAACAATCTACCATCTCAGGTTATAAATGCAGCAGCTCCACCATACCTTTGCTCACCAAACCATCATCAGGATGCACCAATCCCCAATGCTGGCAGTGATGGATGAGGGTTGTCCTTACCCTAATCCTTGTCAAGCCGGTGCCTGGCAGTAGCAGTCCCCATCTGTCCCCACACTGCAGGTAACCCATACCTCTTCTCCCTCCACCAGCGGAAGTCACTGAGACCTTCCACACAATGCTGGCTCTTACTCATCATGCATTTATTCACTGCCAATTTGCTCACATCAGTTGTTTGGTTGTTTTGGTTTGTTTTTTTTTCCTAGTGAGGGCTTGCCTCTGATACAGATTTGTGTAATGGCTTCCTATAATGCCCCCAGAGTCCAAAACCCCACTCTTATGTGTGCCTGGCTCAAGGCTGTGCCGGACAACACACATCCATTGATAAGTTTGCTGGTCACTTTTCTAGGAGAAATATGGGGTAGAATAGAAAATGGGTTGACTGAGCCATCAGAGTTGACCGAGGCGGTTCATTTATTTCCACCAACTGTAACTTGAAGGGATTAACTCAAAGCATCTCAAAAGCCCTTTCTAACTTTTTGAAACAAATGCATGGTCTCTTTAGCCAATGTGTGTGCTCCTTCATTTATTCATTGTACAAATGTTGACCCTGCAGCGGGCTCTGGGGCAGTGAGACACAGCCCTCCTCCCAGGGAACTCAGAGTCTAATGTGAGGAAAGATAATGAAATGGCAACAGCGCATATTAGGAGCTGCAGTCATAGTAGCAAAGGGCCTGTTACATCTTAGAATGGGCTTCGATCTCCCCAGAAGTCTGCTCCCCACATCACCATCTCCACCTCATCAGTGGGACTCACCCTGCCTGTCGCTCAGGCTCAAAACCTTGGAGTCCTCCTTGACCCTAGCTCCTCTTCTCTTGTTCTCTCCCATCCCACATTTAACCAGCAGCAAATGATGCCAGAGTCCTACTTTCAAATGTCAGAATCTGACCACTTCTCATCACCTCCCTCCGAACCTGGATGGTTGCATTAACCTCCCTCTCTTCTGTCTAGCGTCTTCAGCGGCTGGGCTGATCCTTCTACAAGGCGAGGCAGACCATGTCAGTCCTCTGTTCAAAATCCTTCCCATCTCAGCCACAAGTCCCATGACCTACAAGATGTGAACTCTGGTCTAGCCCTGCTTGCTCTGCATTGTGAATTTATGCCAAGCATCTTTGAATCTGACATTCCTTCTACCTAGAGCACCCTTTCCGCTTCCCATGGATAACTTGTGTAGAATTTGTATATCACCAGGCAACGGATTACCCCCTCCCCCCAAACCTGTGGCTTAAAACAACAGACAGTTCTGATGTCCCTCCATCAGGAACTTGGCTGGGCCACTCTGGCTGACCATCTCGCATGAGACTGTGGTCAGATGTCAGCCCAAGCTGTAGTGTTATCTGGTGCATCACGACTGGGACTGGAGGGTCCTCTTCCCAGGTGGCATGCGCATGTGGCTGGTTGGTGCTGACAGGTGGCAGGAAGCCTTGGCTGTTCTTCATGCAGCTTCTCCCTAGCATTGCCTGAGCGTTCCCACCCATGGTGACAGCTGCCCTTGGAGTGATCAGTCCAAAGGGAGCCAGGGAGAAGCCGCCTTTGTGACCTAGTCTCGGAAGTCACACGTTGTCGCTTGTACTGCCTTCTAGTCGTTAGAAGTGAATCGCTAAGGCCTGCCAGGATTCAAGGGGAGGGAAATGAGCCTCCATCTTCTGATGGTGGGGCTGTCAAAGAATCTGTGAACACATTTTAAAACCACCACCAACAGCAAGGTGAGTCCCTGTTCCTTCAAGCCCCCATCCCCTGGTTACTTTCAGAGTGGCCTTCTTCCCGAATACTCTGCACAAAAGAACAGTCACCCCCTCCCATTACACTGTTTTATTCTCTCCGTGATTTATTACCATCCAGTAAGCCACATTATTACTCGTGTATGCGCTTAAACCTGCGTCCCCGTCTAGAATGTAAACTTCTTTATCACAGAGGACACCTCTCTCCTGTTCACTGCAGCCCCATGCTTAGAACTGGCCTGCACACGGGTTAGCCTGGGCCCGGTCAGGTACACAAGGAGGCAAGCATTGCTGGGGATGGGGCAGGGATTGCAAGCTCTGAGTGGTTTGAGCAGAACCAGGACAGCATTCCATAGGAAGAGACCGGAGGCATGGGAATGGAGCCCTCAGAGTAGGAGAAGCAGAGCAGAGCGGTGTAGGGAACATTGGGGTTCTGGAAGCCTGGCATTGGCAGTGAGAAGGGCCGGACGGCCCTGACAAGAGTCTGCATCCCTCCTGGGCTTGCCGGGCCTCTCAGCTCTGCTTCTAAAGATGCACTGATAAGCGGCTGACAGAGATGGATGTGTTTTGCTGCCCTTCCTTCAATATTGACTGGGTTAGGCCTGCTCTCTGGGCAGCCCTAAGGAGCAAGGGGCTTATCAGATGCATTCATCCTGAGTCATAAAACCAGTCTTGATGCACTGGCTGCAGGTGCCTGGTGCAGAAGAAATGCTAATGCCTTTGATCAGTGCTTGACCTGGACCCTGCAGACAGGGTGAGGAGGTAGGGGTGCTTGCTGGATGATGCCAAATTCACCTGTTCCTCCCAAACTCCTGAGGTTGGGGGCCGGGAGATATGAGTGGCAGTGTACTCAAAGACTGAGTACCTAGGCAACTTCCTTCCCCTTTCTGGGTCTCAAAGAAGGAGGTAGGACTCATGTAATTTTCCTAGAATTGCCTGAGGTTCTTCTCAGAGGCAGAGGAGTGAACTTCAGGCCTTCATGGGAATTGCACCCCAAGTAGGTGGCCTCATATCTACTAAAGACACCAAAGTGGAGGTTCGGGTCACAGGGAAGCAAAGGGAAGTGGAACAGACACCTTTTGTTTTGCTTTACGTTATCTCATTTTCACAACCATCTGGCAGTATAAGGACTGATGTTATTCCCTATCTGATTATTGAGGAAACTGCAAAACAGAGAGATGGAGTCTTCTGTCTACTAAATGGTGAAAACAGTGTTTGAATCCAAGTATGTATATCTCTTCCATCCAGAAATAAGCAGGGAAAGGGGACAGAAATGGCAAAGGGGAATTGGAATGAATTGTCTCATGCTTTGGCCTCCACTCAATGTTTTGAGCAAGGACGTGGGACACTGATTTCCAGCCTCTCCCCATGGGTTCGTCAGGACACGATAGGCAATGCCACAGTAACAAATAAACCCCTGAATCCCAGTGGCCTAACCTGACTGAGGCTTATGTCTATCATGCCAAGTCTGATGTGGTTCAGGCATCTGTCTTCCTTCAAGTAGCTCCGCCTCTCAGGGTACGTGGCCTCCAAGTTCACTGCAACAGAGGGAGAGAGAGCTGGGGAAGGCACAGTGGCTCAAACTGGAAATGACACATGTTACTTTCACCCAGAGACCAGTGGCCAAAGATAATCTCTCACGGCCCCAACCTAACTGCAAGGAAATGTGGACAATAAATATTAGGACATCGGAGAATGTCCAATGAATGTGAAGACTCCATCATATCCTAACAATGTCAGCCTCTTTGTTTGCTCCCCTGTAGGACAGAACCCCAGAGCAGCCCTGTGGTTCCATCTCAGGATGGACCCGCGGAAAAGCTGAGCCAGCGTGTGGCCACCGAGACCTTGGGCACCAACAGCTGGGAGAGAGACAAGGCCAGCCGGGAGCTCAGTCTTGCCAGAGCGCACAGGTGAGATGCTGCCCTCACCCTCTCTTGGCGCCAGTGAGGAGGTTCAAGTTGAGAATGCAGAAATGAAGTTTGTCTTTCTGGCCACTCTTCCCCTCCTCCTTTTCTTTTGCAAGTTCTTCTTTCAGACTCTTAAGCCCAATCAAAAGTCAGCACATTTTTTTTATAGCAAATATTTTAAGTCTGAGGACCCAATGGCCTCTGCCACAACTACTCAGTCCTGCCATTGTAGCACCGAAACAGCCACAGGCCCTATGTAAATAAGGGGGCATAAGTGCATGTCAATAAAACTTTATTTATAAAGACAGGCTAGATACAGCCTGGGAAGTCACAGTTTGTTGCCTTTGCCTTGTATGACCAAGCTAGTTCCTGCCCATTTTAATGACTCTATAAGCCACTAATTCCCAAGTCATGACTTCCAGCCCAGATCTGTCTCCTGAGATCCAGATCTTGGCATTCATTCCTTAAATTCAGTTATTCAACCAGGATTTCCTGAGCCCCCATCGGTGACAGGCACTGTGTTGACAACTGAGGACACCACATTTTACTGAGGCTCAGAGAGGTAATGTGACTTGCCCAAAATACGGCAGCCAGTAAGTGGCAAAGTCAAGTTTCGAACTACGGTCTCTCTGATCTTAAATCCTAGACTCACACCTACCACGTTATACTTCGGTGCTAATGAAAAAGCCAGTCTATCCCTTGCCTTCTATTTTCAAGTTTTGCACCATGCATATATAAAGCCTAGTCTGTCTGGCCTCTGGAGAATCAATTTTCTTGACAACATGGTCCTTATTATCTGGTTTTATCAGCTGAGAAAGAGTGAAGTCCTATCAGCTTGGAGAAGTGAAGGTCAACATCAGATCTGGAGAATTCTCTCCAGGAAACAGGAAAAAAGCTGTTTCCATAAGAGGCTGAGGGAGATGGAGAGAGGGGGAGGGAAAGGGTGTTTCTTTACTTTGAAAACACTCTCTCCCAGACAGCCCAAGGGAGAGAGTGTGTCATGGAGACACACATCTGCTAACTGAGCAACTTTGGACAAGTTATTTTCCTTCTGGGGCCTCAGTCTTCACAACTCTAAAATGGAAATATTGAGATCTAGTTCTCCTAATCAGAGTGAGGATTGAACCAGATTCGCAAGTACAGATCCTGACAGTGAGCCTAGAATATGGGGGCACCGGCAGTGCTGGTGGGGGTCTCACGGAGCCAGAAGAGCAGGTTCCGGGCATGAGGATCTAAATAATGATGCCATGTTGTCAGTTTGGTTGTGGAGGATCCCTTGGACTGTGGAGTGCATTGCTCCCTTCTCTCTCTCTCTCTCTTTTTTTAAATAATTTTTTAATGTTTTTATTATTTATTTTATTTTTGAGAGAGAGACAGACTATGAGTAAGGGAGGAGCAGAGGGAGAGAGAGGGAGACACAGAATCAGAAGCAGGCTCCAGGTTCCAAGCTGTCAGCACAGAGCCCGACCCGGCGCTTGAACTTGTGAACCACGAGATCATGACCTGAGCCGAAGTCAGACGCTCAACTGACTGAGCCACCCAGGCGCCCCAGCTCCCTTCTCTTCTCTGAGACCCACTCTCTGACATACTAAAGAAACCAAACCAAACCAAACCAATAATGATGATAATGTTGAAAGTGAGAATAAAAGTCACCTGGCATATAATATATGAATGTTATTGTACACAATTATAATAATAGAACATTTACATGGACTTGCTCCAGAGCAGGGCATATTGCATGAGTGAGCGCCTTGTTGCCTGTGACAAACGTAGGGCACAGGTATCATGTTTTATTCCCATCTCACCGATGATGCACATGATGCCCAAAGAGGTTGCTGAGCTAGGAGGTGTCAGCCTCTAGAGCCAGCGTCCTCTATAGCTGCATACGCTGCGTGCGTGACCACTGTGTATTGAGCCACTCTGTGTGTAATCACTGCACACCCAACTGCTGCATATTTCATGGCTGCTTATGTAACCCGCAGCGTACTTACTTAACCACTGGTCTGGCCCCTCCAACCCTGCTGTGAGGGCACACCTGGGCACACAGGTGCAAGAGTAAGACAGAGGTAGAAGAGAGGCAGATCTACCTGAACAAAATCATTCGGGATTTGTGGGAGGGGTCGATTTCCCCCTCACAGATCTCAGATCCAAAGTCAAAGCCTTTCTCCATCTGACCCCATCGCTCACATAGGAGTGTAAGACCGTGGTTCCCAAACCTGCTTCCCTGGGACCCTGGGGTTCCAGGAAGAAGTGAGAATCCTTGTCTGAAACGCTGAGATCTTTCTCTATTTTATAAGACACAGCTTTAAGGATTTTTTTTTCTCTTCTTAAGTATTTCTTCCTTAAATGTTTAGGGTTGTTTTTTTCTCCTTTCAAATTCCTGGCAATGGTTACACTGTGAAGTGTTTATGTGAAACAAGATAATTTAACAAGTGACTAATTTATTGCATCCATTCATCCCTCATTTGGTCACCTAACAAATATTTATTAGGCTCTCACTCTGCGTCAAGCACTTGTTGCTGGAAAAATTTGGAAGTGGTCTACCACAGTTACACAAGCAGCCTGTTTGCTTACTGCATGTGTGTACTGTGCTCTGTGCTTGACAACACAGTAGTTCTGTAGCAAGTGTAGTTCTGTAGCAAGGTACTTAATCCCTGTGATATTTGCTTTTAGCCTGCTTAAAGTGACTCTCTTGAAGATGTGCTAGATATAACTATACAATTTTTATTTATTGGCAATGCAGAGACCTTAACCGAGAGTCTAGTCACTTGGTCATCTTTTCTATTAACCATAACGATCCAGATTCTTAGAATGGAATTCAATATGGCAGCATTTTATGACGGTCTTTAAAGAGCTGGGTGACTTCCAAAAGAACGTCCACATAAACAAGTTTGAGAAGGCAGTTGGTTTTGTGGGAAAACTCTCTGGGTGGGAATCACAGGGACTTGACTCCAATCCCAGCTCAGAGGCTCCTAACTGGGCAGCCATGGGCGAGCCAATTCATGATTTTGTGCCTTATGGTCTTTACCTGTAAAACAAGACCCTAGGAGTCATACCACCCTCAAAGTGTTTTTGTATCAAAGTATGTAAGGGGCGCCGGGATGGTTAAGCGTCCGACTTCAGCTCAGGTCATGATCTCACGGTTTGTGAATTCAAGCCCGGCATCGGGCTCTGTGCTGACAGCTCAGAGCCTGGAGCCTGCTTCGGATTCTGGGTCTCCCTCTCTCTCTGCCCCATCCCCCACTTATGCTCTGTCTCTCACAAATGAATAAAATGTTATTGAAAAAACAAAGTACGTAAAACACTTGGCACATAATAAATGGATCAATGGTAGTGGTCTTAACACTAATAACGACTATGGTATTCTTATTAATATTACATTTTCCCAGTAACGTTCAACCGGGTGGGCATGTTTCAGTTTCCAAGCAGTTTTTCTTCCCAAACCCATCTCCTTTTGCCACAGGATAGTGTTTTAAAAAATCCCTGGAGCCTGCCCCAATTATAAAAGGAGATAAGTTGACTTCATTCAGCTGCAGCCAGAGCATTTGAATTTAATTGAATGGGAAATAATTATTGCTGAAGAGCAGAGGTTTTTGAGGTTCTGTGAAGCGATATAAGATATGTATCTCATTACATTAGACCTCGGCAAATATACTTTTAATAATCAGCTGCTACTTAACATAACTTCCTCCTCCTATTAACTTTCCAGCAAGAACGATGGACATGAAGTGCTGGGGAAGGAAGGGGGCTGAACTGCCGATTAATTATTTAAAAAGTGATTTATTTACCAAGGTGAGCCATTTGCAAATTCAATAATAAATCTATTAAGGAGCAGTTAACCTTTATAACTCTGTTTTAAATAATCAATTGGTGTTTGGGTAACAGTACAGCGTCTGTCTCATTAGGTCGGCTTTAACTCCTTATTTGAAGCACTTAATCTGAAGTATGACCGAATCCGCCATGAGATGGTAATTAGGTTTCGCCATGGGCCCTTCATCCTTCAAGGAACTGGGTCCTTCTTCCCTGGCTGCAACAGCTCTGCTTGGGGGCTTGGGCATCCTGGGTTCTCTAATACCTGACTCTGTGCTCCCCACAGTGCCTCCTGTGACAATGACTTGACACCACCACCTTCCTCCAGGGGGAAGAAGAAAAAGAAGAAATCCACCCGGAAGAAGAGAAGGAGGTGAGCATCTTAAGGGGAGATAAAACCTCGAAGATGGGAGAAAGGACGAAATAGGAGTAAAATGAGTTTCAGAGTCAAACAGCGACTCCCCTTGGGTTCAAATCCCCTCTCTGACTCTTAACTAGCTGTGTGACCTTAGGCAAGACCCTTTACTTCTCTGTTCCTGTTTTCACTTGTATAAAGTAGTGATAATACCAGGTGTTTGTAAGAATCAGATGGAGAAAAATGGCTGTGGAAGAAGTTGTCATAATGTCTGGCACATAGCAAATAACCAGTGAATCAGCATAATCATGACCATGAATAGGATTTTTTTTTTTTAATTTACTCTGTGTGGAAGGTGATGCTCTAAGCACGGTTATCTCCATAATGTCTTTTACCTTTGATCACAATTTACCAGACAAAGATTACTGTCTTCATTTCAGAGATGAGAAAAGAAAGGCACGGGATGGGGAGGGGGGGTGACGGAATTTACAGGGATCCCAGGCTCTTCAGTTGATTCTATTCCCACCTAGCAGATGAATGCCAAGGATAATAACTTTATCTTTTTAGTCAGCAATTGACCCTTTTGTACCCCATGGATTTTTCCTTTGTACAGTCCCTTATAATTTTTTTAAGTGTAAAAGTAGTTCCAGATTTTCTTCAAGACTAAAATCATATCCAGCGTTCCAGACCCAGAGGGGGTCAGGTTGAAAATCTCACCAGACCTCAGAGGCAGTGTTTGACGAGGCCTGCAGGGGGCAGCAGAGAGCAGTGTCTGGATATCTCAGGCCCCAATTCCAGATTTTCAGGGTTCTTGGCTATGCCCTTTTAGTCTTGTTCTAAGGCCCAAAGAAGAACCAGAGGGGAGTGTGAATGAAGACCCTACCTCGTAGGGTGAGGGGGAAAATTGGGGCCAGTGGGTTTGAGGTTCCTGATTTTAGGGGTGGGCAGAACACTTCAGAGAAGGAAATCAGAGTTCACTGATTAAATTGCTCATCCAATAAATGTCCACTGGGCACGTGTTTGGGGAACAGGTCCTATGGCCCCCTAAGAGAAGTTGTTCTCAATCCTGTGTTTTCCTTTGCAGACGTGTTCTGTATGACGTGCCAGGGATTATTTTGTCTTTTTTTTTTTTTTTAAGTTTGTTTGTTGAGAGAGAAAGTGGGGGGAGGGGCAGAGCAAGAGGGAGAAAGGGAATCCCAAGCAGGCTCTCTGCTGTCAGCACAGAGCCCAACACAGGGCTCGATCCCAGGAGCCATGAGATCATGACCTAAGCCAAAATCAAGAGTCGGGGCACTTAACCAACTGAGCCACCCAGGTGCCCCTCTTTTGTCTTTTTAATTGGTGGCCAATATTTAAAACCCAGATGTCACATGAAGATGTGTTTTTCTGATGATTCTGTTGAAAAGGCAGGGATTCCAGAAGCCCAGGGCTGCGTTCCCACATGAGACCTTCAGCTCATCTGACAAAGAGATGCTGTTGGGTTCACTGCAGTCCTCACCACTCTCCATTGTCTTACATCCAGCCTGCTGTCCAAGAGGGCCCTGCTGGCATTGACTTTGAAACTCCTAATCTGTTTCAATCTCGGTATTTTGCCAGTGGTGAAATAAGAGACCCAGAGATGAGCAGTGACATGCCCAAGGTGGCTTCGTGAGTTGGGGGTACAGTCAAGATTGGAACTCGGGGCACTTGAACTTTCAGTCTTGAGTCATAGTCAGGGTCCTGGGGTGGCTCTGTTTCCTGGGTAACCCCTGATAGCAGCACCCATGCTGACCACAGCCTGATGAGGTCTCCTCCAAGGGCTTGATCTTACCAGGGAGACAGGGTGAGGCACAAGAGAGACCTCAAGTATCCAAGAGGAGGGTCAGAGCTGAGGGGAGAACAGCAGAAAAAAAGAAATATTTGTTCCGACCAGGAGGGAAGATAAAGGGATTGAGGGCAAGGCCCCTGTTATCAATGAGGCTTCAGTTTGAAGCTTGGCTCGTGCTCATCCTAGCTGTGTGTCTTTGGGCAAGTCACTTTACCTCTCTGAACTTCACTTTCCTTGTCTGAAAGAGGAGGGTGGCAATCGTGCCTACCTAAGGAGCGTGTGGAAAGATTAGATGAGGCAACGCCTATAAAGTACATGGTGACGTTGAAAACAAATGCAGATTTGATTGTATCAACTATATAAAATGCAAGTACTGTTAGTATCAGTATCGATATCCTATATCCTTGTGTGTGTTACCAAAAGAGCTGAGACCCTGACTGGGGACTGGAGAAGGGTCTCTGAAAGCCAACGCTGGCCCTTAAGAAGGTCCCTCTGAAGGTGTCTCCTCCCCTGGCAGGTCCCCATCATACAGTCCATCGCCTGTCAAGAAAAAGAAGAAGAAAGGTTCCAAGAAACATAAGCGACACAGGTATTGCCCTTCCTCCTCGGCAAACACCCTCCTCCTCCTCCGGGGTGGGGTGGGGGTTGGGGTGGGAGTGGGTGGAGCCAAAAGTTCACTGGCAAACTTATCATTTAACTTATGTAAAATACTCCCCTGGGTGTTGTGTCCTTTTTCTTGCCTAACTTGGCACGTGGTCACAAGGACCCGAGGTCCACTAGAGCCAACTCCGCCCGATGGGGGTCTGTGTGATGAGCTCTCTGCCTTGTTCCTTATTCCAGATTTCCAAGAAAGGGCCTCTCTGGTGGGTCCCGCTTGTCCTAGAGGATGGGATCGTGTAAAACATGGCTTCTGGGATTGTCCACCCTCGTGGTGGGTCGTTAAGGGGCATTGTGAGCCAGATGCGCCTTCCAAACCGTGCATGCTACTCACACACGTACACACACCCATATGTATGCAGAGGGGCGTGGGGAAGAATTAAAGAACTTAAAGGATGTACACCAGAGGACTCAGAGCTGCGGTTCATGGGCCAACTCAACATTTTATAATTGGGAGATTGTATAATAAAAAAAAAAGAATCAGGTTTTCCAGTTCCTCCGTAAAATCAGCAGGTCTGTCTTCACTGGACCAATTTTTTTTTTTTTTTTTTTTTTACAAATAGTTTATTGTCAAATTAGTTTCCATATAACACTCAGTGCTCATCCCCAAAGTGCCCTCCTCCATGCCCCCCCTCCCCCCCACATCCATCAGTCCTCAGTTTTTGTCAGCATCGAAGAGTCTCTCATGGTTT